AAAGCAGTGTAGGTCATTGGTTCTTGTGCACCATGCACCCAGCCAGCGTTTCGCCAGCCTTGTCATGCCCATTCTCTTGGTGTCACCGCACCCCTGAAGGCAGAACGTCATGCCAGCTGGTGGGTGCCACAGCTCCCTGCTGGAACATGTCTAGGTGATGAGGACTGTCCCCAAGAGAGGTCCGGCCACCCCTTGCTGCACACCAGGGCTGTACGTGGCCTCTCAGGACTGTGCTGAGCTGGCCTCTGTCCCTGCTTGGACACCTGTGGTTAACATGTCCCTGGGATCCCTGGGGGACAGGCGAGTGCCCCCACATCCCCTCCATGCTTCTCAGTGTGGTGGCCGCTTGCCTCTTGCCCCGCCTGAGCCATAGCACTAGGCCCTGCTGGGGGCTGGAGCTCCCTTTTACCCTTGCTCCCTGTTTGATCCGATTGGTGAGGTTTAATTTGCAGAGGAAATGTTTGAAAATCTAATCTTTATCTTTCAGAAAAGTCAAGTACTTTAACGTCAAAGCTGGCTTTGTCGACGAGCACACAGTTCGTGGTGTTGCCAAAGGTGGGAAAGAGGTGAGTCTCTGACTCACTTGCTGGCCCCTCGTGGACCCTTCTGCAGACCTGGGGCACCAGCTGCAGCTGTGTTTGTCCTGGGTGCTGTCCTCAGTAACACGTGCTGTTGGAATTGAAAAGATGGCTTCCTTTGAGGCTGCGCATTTGTCTTTAAAATGATCAAATACTTTGCTGCCCTGCTCCTCGGAGTGACATGGCAACGGGGTTTATGACCACAGCCTGTTTGCAGGATTTTGTGAGGATTTGAGGGTGCTTAGTACACCACGAAGTGGTTGGAGTTAGGACGTCCGCCTGTCCTTTTTGCCTGTCTCCCTCCCACCCAGCTGCCTGTTGATGGGATTCCAGCTTCGTGGGGCCTCTGAACTGCTGGCCGAGGCTCCACGTTGCAGGGCAGGGGCCGTGGGAACTGCTGGCCAGGGTCTGCGGTGCTCGGGCCCTCTGGTGCGTGGCCACTATGCATCTGTCTGACCTACGGCGTTCCCTTTCTTCTCAGATTCTGCTGTCAGCTGACCACATCGTCATCGCTACTGGAGGCCGGCCGAGGTACCCCGCACACGTGAGTGTCCCCAGAGTGCAGCATCCCTGCTGCACTGGCCCATCCCCGGGCGCTTTGAGGGATGCACTTTTACACACGCGCTTCCCACACCAGCGGCTTGCACACTCTTTTCCCTTATACTCACTGTCATCACTTTCTGCTTTCCAGTTCTCTTGAATCCACACTGCTGAAATGTGGGGTCCCCAGTGGCCTCCATGCTACCAGATCCTCAGGACGGACAGCTCTTGTTCTGTTCTCCCCCTGGGCCCTGCTGGATGCATCGCCTTCCATCCCGCCTCCTACTTCCTCAGTTTCCATTGCTGATTCCCCTTTTCCCTTCAGCCTCAGAATGGTTGGAACGTTCAGGATATAAGCCTCATTCCTCATCCTCCTTCTCCTCCCCAAATTTAAAAAAAGTTTGAAATAAAATCCACACGCTATAAAATTCAGACTTTTATAGGGTACAATTCAGTGGTTTTTAGTACATTCACAGAGCTGTGCGGCCATCAGTCACCATCATCCATTGCCAGAACTCCTTCCATCGTCCCGAACTGAAATTCTTTTCCCATTAAACCTAACTCCCCAGCACCTCCTCCCCCAGCCCCTGGCAACCACCACCTACTTTCTGTCTCTATGAATCTGACAACACTAAGCACCTCGTGTGAGTGGAATCGTACCTGTAAGTCCTTCTCATGTAACTGGAATCGTACGTGTGTCTTTTCGCGACTGGCTTACTTCACTGAGCGTAACATCCTCCAGGTTCACCCACATGGTAGCGCTTGTCAGTATCTTGTCAGTATCATTCCTTTTTATGGCTAGGTACTATTCCGTTGTATGGATAGACGACATTTTGTGTATCCGCCTGCTCGTGGATGAACACAGGGATTGTTTGCACTTTTTAGCTATTATGAATAGTGCCGCTGTGAGCATCTGCACAGAAGCCTTTGGTGGACTTCAGTTTTCACTTCTCTGGGGTTGCACCTAGGAGCAGAACTGCCGTGTCACGTGGTAGCTTTATGTTGACCCTTTCAGGGAACCTCAGACTGTTTTCCAAAATGACTGCATTTCACATTCCTTCCAGCAGTGTATGCGGGTCTTGGTTTCTTGTTTCTTCATGTATCTCGTAATTTTTTTTTGAGACGGAGTTTCGCTCTTCTTACCCAGGCTGGAGTGCAATGGCACCATCTCGGCTCACCGCACCCTCTGCCTCCTGGGTTCAGGCAATTCTCCTGCCTCAGGCTTCTGAGTCGCTGGGATGACAGGCACACGCCACTATGCCCAGCTAATTTTTTGTAGTTTTAGTAGAGACGGGGTTTCACCATGTTGACCAGGGTGGTCTTGATCTCTTGACCTCGTGATCCACCTGCCTCGGCCTCCCAAAGTGCTGGGATTACAGGCTTGAGCCACCACGCCCGACCGTATCTTATAATTTTTTAATTGAAAGCTGAACCTTTCGAATAATTTCTTTCTTTTTTTTTTTTTTTCCGAATAATTTCTTGTGGTAACTTTGGAAACCAGATTCTCCCTCTGCCCCAGGAGTCTGTTGTTTCAGCCGCTTAGCTGGTGACTTTTTGGAACTGACTTTGTAGACTCTTATTCTTTGTTGGATGTGGCCACTGATGTCTCTACTTGTTTAGCTTAATGGTCAGCCAATAACTGCATGGAGATTTCTCTAAACCAAGGATTCTCCGGGTCTTTGCTGAGGGCTCCGTGTGCATTTGGAGGGGATGCCTTCCACACTCAGCAGGCAGCAGGCAGCTCTTCCCTAGCCTTCACCTCCTGCCTGTGCAGAGGGCAAGGTCAGCTGGAGGTGAGGCCTCAGGGCCTCCTTGGTCCCTCCTGATGTGTGCACAGTGCTGTGTGTGTGCCTGGCCTGGGTTCCCAGGAATATGCTGGAGCTTTGCAAAGCTCCAGTGGACATCTCATGCCTCGGCTTTTCCTTTGAAGCTTTTTGGGCAGTCTGTTGTTGGCTCCAACTGTTACCCATCCCTCAGGCAGCTGAGAGGAAAACCTCAGACAAATGCCCCCAGAGCGAGGCTTTTAGTCCTGGCTGAGCTCCAGTGAGGCTGGATACGGATACAGATGACCCTTTTTTTTTTTTTTCTTTTTTTTGAGACGAAGTCGTACTCTTGCCTAGGCTGGAGTGCAGTGGCGCGATCTTGGCTCACTGCAACTTCTGCCTCCCGGGTTCAAGCAATTCTCCTGTCCCAGCCTCTGAATAGCTGGGACTACAGGCGCATGTCACTACACCCAGCTAATTTTTGTATTTTTTTTTTTTTTAGTAGAGACGGGGTTTCACCATGTTGGCCAGGATGGTCTCGATCTCTTGACCTCATGATCCGCCTGCCTCAGCCTCCCAAAGTGCTGGGATTACAGGTGTGAGCCACTGCGCCTGGCCAAGATGACTCTTTTGAGGGGGTCTTCTGGGGAACCCTGGCAGGGTCAGATGCTGACTCTGACTCTTCTTTGGGAGGGGCTTTGAAAGACCCCAGCTGGGTTCTGCCCTCTCTGGCCATTACTGTTCAGGGCTGCCGCTGAGGTCGGGGTAGGACCAGAGTGAGTGAAAACACCCTGGAGCTCCCGTTCTCACCCAGCTTCAGCTGTTTTTCCCGACTGAATGTTCCGTGTGTTGCTGCAAGCCTGTGGTTAATTTCCATAATTCTGAATCTCACAGTTTTTTGTCAGTGTTATCACTGTTTTTAACAGACTGGTGAATAACTCCTGGCCCAGTCTTGTGGGTTGTGGGGGGCAGAGTTGAGGAAGGGGCCCCAAGGTTGGGGGGGTAGCTGCTGCAGGGAAAGCAAATGGGGGCTGAGGGTGGGCAGAGAGCTTTGGCCGAGGCCAGTCCTCACGGGTCTCCTGGGGGACCGGGTGCCGTCTGCTCTAAGCCTCTGAGTAGGCCGCAGCCAAGCTCTCGAAGACCATGGGTCCCTTGGTCTGGGCCACACCGCCTCTGACTTAGACCCGGGGCCGTCTGGTGGAGGCAGAGCAAGGGGAGGTTCTGCTGCTACTTGGATGTGACCCCAGCCTCCACTTCACCCTGTGCTTACTGGGGAAACAGGGAGAGGAGGGGCCCCGAGGAGCACGAGCACCCCCAGTCCTTAGAGGCTACGAGGCTTCTCTGGCCACTAGGCAGCCACAGGAGCCTCTATCGGGGGCAGGTTGCTTATGCACAGAGGGGCTCGTGGCTGCGTGGCTCTGTAGGATGACACTGTGCTGCTGTTCAAGGCAGCTGCCGCAGACAGGGTCCAAGTGATCCCCGGACCTGGCAGCTGGGCTCATGGTGGTTCTGCTTAAAGAAGGTCACAGCCAGCTCCCAGCAGCCCAGCGGTCACCTGGGCTTCTCTGCGGCCCCGGGAGAGCTGCACATGGTCTGCACCGGGGAGCCCTGCAGAGGGGCCCTGGCCTGGCCCTGCTGTGCAACTCACAGGCAGCTGCTGCCGGCTCTGTGGGCCCACAGGGGAAGCATCAGGCGCTCCTGGTCCTGCGGGGCAGGCAGCTCAGGGCCGCTCCGCCCTCCCTGCCACGCCCTCCCAGGGTGCCTGCCAAGACTTGCCTGCGTTTTAGTCCCTTTGATCGCCAGACCTTTCGGTTTTCCTTGAGCAAACCCGAGAAATTCCTTTTTTTTTTTTTTTTTTTTTAGAAATTCCTGACTTTATTTTTTTTGCCAATTGGAAGCATAAACTGTGAGATCCATTTCCTGCACGAGCACATCTTGTTCTCATGGCTGCTAAGGGGACGTTCACCCTGGGTCTCCCCACCTGCTTGGCCGCCCCTCTTCAGGTGACCTGTCTGATTTGAGAGTGAAGTCCGTCCTGGCTTCAGCCGGGTGCCCTCAGAACTGCCCCTCAGGCCCTGCACACCTCAGCCCGTGGCACGCACACCCTGTGCCTCCTCTCCTCTCGCTGGCCTGGCAGCCCACCCCTGCCGCACAGACACACTTGAGCTCTGCTGGCCCTGATTGCTGACTCTCCCCGCTTCCCCTCTCTGAGCCTGGACCTCCCCAGAGCCCAGGTGCCGCTCCCTGGGGCTGCATGCCTCTGTCTGTGTGATATGTCTGTCCAGGACCCGGACAGACTTGAGGGGGCCCAGCTGTTGCCAGTGTGGCCCCTGCAGTTGTTGTGCCTACCTCAGGCCCTGTGTCCTGGTCTGAACCAGGGTCAAGGGGAGGGTCTTGGGGAGCAGAGGGGAAAGGTATCCTGCGAGGGCGCCGGGCCCAGGAGCACAGCAGCTTAGATGCAGACAGGCCACCTGCAGCCCCAAAGAAGCCACAGCCTGCAGACAAGGACTGGCAGCAGGGAAGCCCTGTGCATGGTGCTCTGGGATGGCGCTGGCCGAGTCTGCAAAGCTGGCGTCCTCTGTAAGGAAGCCCCAGGGCAGGCCAAATGGAGCTCTCATCCCAGGGGTCATTTCTGTCTTGACAGATCGAAGGTGCCTTGGAATATGGAATCACAAGCGATGACATCTTCTGGCTGAAGGAGTCCCCTGGAAAAACGTAAGGCCTGTCGCATGCATGATGGGGTCCTCTCTGTTCACCAGAGTGAGCACTGGGCCCTGAGAGCCTGCGCCGCTGCTTGGCTCCTGGGGCTTTCTTTCCAGTTTACCCAAAAGAAGGAGAAAAGGCCTGTCGTTTGTGGCCAGGCACAGTGGCTCACGCTTGCTAGCTTAGCACTTTGGGAAACTGAGGCAGGAGGATTGGATTGCTAGAGGCCAGGAGTTCGAGATCAGCTTGGGTAATATAGTGAGACCTTGACTTTACAAAAATCTTCTTCTTTTTTTTTTTTTGAGATGGAGTTTCGCTCTTGTTACCCAGGCTGGAGTGCAATGGCGCTGTCTCGGCTCATCACAACCTCTGCCTCCTGGGTTCAGGCAATTCTCCTGCCTCAGCCTCTTGAGTAGCTGGGATTACAGGCACGCGCCACCATGCCCAGCTAATTTTTTGTATTTTTTAGTAGAGACAGGGTTTCACCGTGTTGACCAGGATGGTCTTGATCTCTTGACCTCGTGATCCACCCGCCTCAGCCTCCCAAAGTGCTGGGATTACAGGCGTGAGAAATCTTCTTTTTTTGAGATGGAGTCTCGCTTTGTCACCCAGACTGGAGTGCAGTGGCTCAATCTCGGCTTACTGTAACCTCCGCCTCCTGGGTTCAAGCGATTCTCCTGCCTCAACCTCCCCAGTAGCTGGGAGTATAGGCGCCCACAACCTCGTGTGGCTAATTTTTGTATTTTTAGTAGAGACGGGGTTTCTCCATGTTGGCCAGTCTGGTTTTGAACCCCTGACGTCAGGTGATCTGCCCACCTCAGTTTCCCAAAGTGCTGGAATTATAGGTGCGAGCCACCACGCCCAGCCTACCAAAATCTTAAAAATATTGACCAAGCATTGTACTGTGCACCTGTAGTCCCAGCTACTTGGGAGGCTTAGGTGGGAGGATTGCTTGAGCCCAGGAGGTTGAGGCTACAGTGAGCTGTGATTGCACCACTGCACTCAGCCTGGGAGAGGGTGAGACCTTCTCTCAAAACAAACAAAACAATAAGCCTGTGACCTGTACCCCTCTGAAGGGCCATTGATGTACTGTCTTGTGGCTTCCTTGGAGGTAATAACACGAATGCCATGTAAAGGGAGTCAGCTGTTTGTTATCTAGGTCAGTCGTTGTCAAATGGGCTTCCCGGGAGCCCTGGGATTCCAGTGGGTCCCATCAGGGACATCAGGGAGAACATTAAGGAGGGGAGAGCCGGCAATCCCTACCCCAGCCCTCATCTGACACCCTCACTGCCTTCTGGTTTGCACATTGGGTTTCCCTGAAATCTAGCAAAGGCTCCAGAGGCCTCCGAAACAACATCTTGGTTGTGGAAGGGGGACTAGCAGCGTGCAAGTGGCTCTCACTTCCCGTGGGAGCAGGTGCAGAGTCCCTAATGCCTTCCGACGCCCACAGAGAGGCTATTCTGAGGTCCCAGGTCCAGGCAGCTCCCGTCTGTGGGGTGTGGAGACTTCATGCTGGCAGGGACCAGAGAGGCCACCAGAGGGCGGCAGAGGCTTGGTCAATAGCAAGGCTAGCTTGGTCTCTAGCCTTCCCCAGGAGAAAATAGCAGTGGAAAAGGGTCCCACCTCTGAGCGTGCCAGTATGTACATGGTGTACATGCACATGTGTGTGGTATGCATGTTTGCATGTGCACACGCGTGTGTGTGCATGTGTGAGTGGTGTGTCACATGTTTTGCTTGTAATTATTTCACACTTCACAGGGTATCTTTGTGTGGGGTCAGGACTGGATTCCCTTGAATCGGAGTTGTGTAGTTCCTTTGACCTTTCTCCTATTAATGAGCATTTCAGTAGCTTCTTCGTCATTATCAATGCTGTAGTGAAAACCTTCGAGGTGCATCTCTTTAAACCATTATAAGTGCTTCTGACACATTATCCCAATTATTCGTTGTGATAAAACACATAGTATAAAATTTACCACTTTATTATTATTATTTTTTTTGAGGTGCAGTCTCACTGTGTCGCCCAGGCTGGAGTGCAGTGCTGTAATCTCAGCTCACTGTGACCTCCACCTCCCGGGTTCAAGCGATTCTCCTGTCTCAGCCCCCTGAGTAGCCGAGACTACAGGCGTGTGCCACCACACCTGGCTAATCTTTTGTATTTTTAGTAGAGATGGCGTTTCACCATGTTGGCCGGGCTGGTCTCAAACTGCTATCCTCAGGTGATCCACCTGCCTTGGCCTCCCAAAATGCTGGGATTATAGGCGTGAGCCACCTCGGCCAGCCCACTTTAACGATTTTTAAGTACGCAGTTGAGTGGTATTAAATGTACTCATCAGGTCCTGAAACCATCACCACTATCCATCTCTGGAACTCTTTTCATCCGTGTTGTTTCTGAATTTCCTGAGTAATTCCATTGTACAGGCACACCGTATTTTGTTCATCCACTCACCTGTCAGCGTACACCCGAGTTGCCTCCGCTTCTTGGCTGTTGTGAATAGTGCCGCTGTGAACATGGGCGTGCAAATACCTCTTAGAGACCTTACTTTCAATTCTTTTGCGTGCAAACCCAGAAGTGGGATTGCAGGATCATAGGATCTGAGGACCTCTATCCTGTTTCCCGCGACGGCCGGACCATCTTCCGTTCTCACCAGCAGTTCAGGAGGACTCGGGTCCCCGCATCCTCGCCTGCACGTTGTTTACTGCTTTTCTTTCCTTCTTTAATTTTTAATTTTTCCTTTAAACTCCCTGGACTTGCTGTTTCCTGTGTTTTTGGCAGTGGCCATCCCAGTGGCTGTGAGGTGGTCTTACACACTTTACATCCCTGTCGGGGGTCTTTCCTAGAAGTAGAAAAGCTGAGTGTGAGGGGAGCTGCCCTTTGATCATAACACATTTTGCTGGCAGCCAGTCACACCGGTTCCATGTATATTCTGCACGCTTCCCCGTCCTTGGTAACTCAGGCATCTGCCTTTTGATTAGACACGAAACAGAAAGGAGCCTCTACTCCCATGCCCCTGGGCTGGGCCACGGTCACTGCTACCCATGGCGCACCCACACGTCCTGAGACTGTGCTGGGCTCACCCTGGTTTCCATCGACTGCCCACTGCCCTCCATTGGACCCCCGATTGTGGCTTGTCTTTGGAATTGGTGATACTATTTCATACAGAAATTTTAAGTTTTTCTGTTGTCACAGCAGTCACTCTTTCCTGCTATACCATAATTTCTGGGTTATCCGTTTATCTGTTTTTTTATTTCTGTTTTTGTTTATTATCTTTAAGATAGTCTTTGCTCTGTCACCCAGCTGGAGTGCCGTGGTACAATCATGGCTCGCCGCAGCCTTGAAGTCCTGGATTCAAGCAATTCTCCTGCCTCAGCCTCCCGAGTAGCTGGGATTACAGGCGCCTGCTACCACGCCCAGCTAATTACTACTTTTTTATTATTTTATTTTATTATTATTTTTTTTTGAGACGGAGTTTCACTCTTGTTACCCAGGCTGGAGTGCAATGGCGCCATCTCGGCTCACCGCAACCTCCGCCTCCTGGGTTCAGGCAATTCTCCTGCCTCAACCTCCTGAGTAGCTGGGATTACAGGCACGCGCCACCATGCCCAGCTAATGTTTTGGAATTTTTAGTAGAGACGGGGTTTCACCATGTTGACCAGGATGGTCTCGATCTCTTGACCTCGTGATCCACCCGCCTCGGCCTCCCAAAGTGCTGGGATTACAGGCTTGAGCCACCGCGCCCGGCCTATTTTTTAATTTTTTTATTTAGAGCAAGGACTCGCTGTGTGGCCCAGGCTAGCCTCGAACCCCTGGGCTCAAGTGATCGCCCTGGCCTCTCAAAGTGCTGGGATTACTGAGCTCCTGCACCTGGACTGGTTTTTCTCTTTCACTGTCTGCCGGGTTACACACGATCTGACTCTGTGCATTTGCTGTGATCGTGGTCTTTTCACTTACCGACGTGGAAAACCTCGTTTCGCAGCCTTGTTTGAGATGAGCTGTGCAGGTCGCCAGCATGGTCCCTGTGCGCTTTCCTATCTGGCTTTGCTCTGTCCTTGCCCTCCCGCTGGTTTGTGTATTAGGGATGTGATCCTCTGTCACTCGCGGTGCAGATTTTCTCAGCTTCCAGCGTCTTTTAACTTGGGCAACGTACAAATAGTTTAACTTTTTTTAAAATGTAACTTAAATCTTTTATACTTAATGGCTTTTTGATTTATTACATGTTCAGAAAGGCCTGCCCCACCCCCAAGATTTTTTTTTTTAAGCCCTGTATTTTCCTTATGGGCGTCCACAAGTTGGATTTTCTTTTACATCCTTGGGCTGGCTGCAGTCTTCTGTGGTGTGGTGGGGATGGGCTGCCCGGGCCCCGGTGCCCGCCTTGAGGTCCTGTCCTCACCCGGCGTCCCGAGTCCTGCCAGTGGCTCTGGCTGTCTTTCACGTCGGCTTCTCTGGGTGGAGTCGATGCTTGTCCAGCCCCTGCAGGATGCCTTGTCTGCAGGGAAATGGCTTTGGATGTCCGGCAGCCCAAGGAAGTCTGCTGGGCCCCTTGGTGTGCTGGGGACTTCGGTCACTGCAGGCCAGCACTTTCTCCGTCCTGGTCACACCCATTCCCCTCAGAGGCTGCCCACTTGGGGCTGGGGAAGCGGCCTGGCACTCTGGGTGCCCTGCCCCTGCTGTCTCCCCGGCAAGGTGGCTGGGGCTTGGGGAGTGCCACCCTGCAACCCCGTGCTGGGGGCAGCCGGCTCGGCCGGGAAGACACGGCCCCAGATATTTTGGTCGGGAAAGAAACTGCAGTGTTTATTTTCTTCAGAAAAAAAACATTTAGAAGATTTTTTTTTAAGCTCTTTCGTTTAGAAGGAATCTAGGTATGTTATTGTTTAAGAAAAAAAGTGTTTGCAATGTATCAGTCACCCGTTTCGTTCTGAGCATGATTTATGTGAGGAAATGGTTTTTTTAAAAATTAAGCTGGAGATATATCCCTGTACGATGCTTCTGTGAAAATGCGGCTTTTGTGCGGCGC